AGGCTCTGAAGGTCAGGCAGCTCTATTTGCATAAGTGCTACAATTTAATACTAAGAGAAAAACCCTGAAGAAACCTATTCAAACAGTTGCCTTGGATCATCAGGTCCTCATGATGAATTTATCTGCATTTCAGCATTTCACCATCATAGAGAGAACTGCAGCCTGTCTGATAATCTGCTCACTGCAGGGCTCATCAGAGAGCACAGAGCCACCAGACATATAGACTTCTGCTTGGCCTTTTCTACCCCTCTCAATAGCCTTACCATCAGGCCATTGATTGGACCTGTGTGATGCCAATTATAAGTCATTGTGGGTGGCGAGGCGCAAAATGCAAGACAGTGAGTCTCTGTTTTTAATAGCCTAAAAGATTGTCCAATCACTTCTCCATAAACAAGCAACGCAATAAACAACACCCAGCAGCAAGGACTGACCGGACCAGCGGCTGCTTGACTGGATACTCCAGGATGCTTCTTGAGATGCACTGTGCATGTCACTACTGATTCCGTCTCAAGTGCAAAAGCCAGTTGGTAAGTCACTGCTCATATTCCTGCATATGTGCAGGGTTTGGTAGCTTTTGAATAAATGGGGCTATTTCCATCGGGAAGTAGAATGTTAAGTAGTGAGATGGTTGGAGAGGGATGAAGAGAGTTTCCTGCTGCGTCTTATCTGAAGTGCGCTGCAGGAATCACCCTCTTCTCTCTCTGAGAGCAGCTTCTTATGGAACGAGAGGAGTGACATACTGTAGTGTACAGAGAGAGAGAGATAAAGGAAGAGCATACTGTGTGTTTTTGACTTCACATCCCATTATGTGTTATAAGCATTTTTTTAGATTTAATTCAGATTTTTCCATCAGTGATGCCAACTTTTAAATTGTGACATAGGAAAATAAATACATTTATATATTTCACTATTTTCATTAATTGTCCTAAGTATTGGCTATTTCACGGTCAGTTGATGTTTATAGTCGTCTTTTATTTGTGTACTATCAAAATATGTCCAGAATAATAGGCACACATCAGCATATTCAAAGTTCACATCAAGAAAAACCTGAAAGACCAAGGGCCCTACTTTTGTGAGCACTTCAATCTGTCCTGTCCTGTGCACTTATGCAATGCCAAGCACACTCTGGTATTTTCTGTCCTTGGGCGAGTCTGGTGCACATGCAGTGCACTTGGAAATGGAGTGTGATCAGAAAGAATACACTACTACTGAGATTTTAAGGAGTTGAATACACCTTCCGGTGATACTTGGACACGTCATCAGTGAAGATCCCAGGGTCATAGGGTGTTTTGGGTCTTTAATCTTCAGACTACTACTGAGATTTTGAAAATCATGGCTTATCTCATTCACCCCCCTTCCCCCCACACTTTACACACAGGACTCTCCCTGTCACAGTTTAGGAATCCCAGAGATTTTCTCAGAAGAAACCTTTTGTTGTCTTACACATCAAAATATGAAAACAGTAGTAGTTTGGACATCTTGAAGAAATTACAATCATCATGTTTTACACAACCATTTAAATTAAAGGAGACATTATGCCCATATTCTGGTTCATAGTTTTGGTTAGATTTGAGTTATTACTTTTTTTTTTACATGTAATGAACAGAAAACTCACTTTCCTCACACTGTCCCTTGCTGCAGCTCCTCTTTTCAGCCTCTGTCTAAAAATATTGGATTTAGGTCCTGTCTTTTGATGCCCCCCCCCCCTCTTGATGAAGCCCAGTGTGCTCAGATTGGACCGATCTGTTGTGATTGGTCAACTGCTTTCGGCAGTGAAGGTGGAATTGAAATGGAATCTGTTGGCATTGCATAATTCTTAACTCAATTCATGACTGGCTGTTTTACATGGGAAGTATCGCTGACCAAGTGGTTAAGTGGTTGCCTTCCTCACATTGAGACATAATCATGATGTGATCCTTTTCATGAGTCTATATAAAATCTTTAGATTGCTTCAGTATCTAATGTGATGTTGATTTGCAGTAGTGAAGTTAGAATTTGGACAACTAAT